ATTCCATTTTGGGCAGAAGTGTTGGCCGGTGGTTGTGCTGGAGGCAGTCAGGTGAGGGATTCTGCCGCTTCGCAGGCCTTCAGAACGTTTTCAAAGGGGTGTCACGGTTCAGGTAATATTCACGAATCCATTGGAAATTGTGAAGATTCGCCTTCAAGTCGCCGGCGAAATTCAATCAGCGCAAAAGGTGTGCTTTTTAACTTCATTTGCAACATATTCTCCTTGTAGTTTTCTTTTTGTTATTATGGCGTATCTAGTAAGGTTCGAACATGGCCGTCGCATCGTAAAAAGAGGTCCCACAGCGAATCTTTGCAAAAGTTGGCTTATTGGAGAAGTTGCTTCTGTGATCATTCAATAACAATTCATATAATAACATATTTTGTTTCCCAGATTCTCATTTCGATTTCATTGTGGGAACAGAGGTTTCAAGATAAGGCTGGGCCTTAAAATTACATTTTTACTCCAAAAATTCGTCCTCCAAGCTTTATCATGGTTCACTATTATAATTGGATCTATTCGGTCACATCTAGTGTATGCAAAAAACCATTACTGCAAAAAAAAANTATCGCTCCCGACTTCAGGTCTATTGGGTCTTTATCGTGGTCTTTTACCGCAGATCGTTGGAGTTGCTCCCGAAAAAGCTATTAAACTAACAATGAACGATTTCGTCAGAGATAAATTCACAAAAGAAGGCAAGATTCCATTTTGGGCAGAAGTGTTGGCCGGTGGTTGTGCTGGAGGCAGTCAGGTGAGGGATTCTGCTGGCACACTGCCACTTCGCAAGCCTTCAAAACGTTTTCAAAGGGGTGTCACGGTTCAGGTAATATTCACGAATCCATTGGAAATTGTGAAGATTCGCCTTCAAGTCGCCGGCGAAATTCAATCAGCGCAAAAGGTGTGCTTTTTGACCACATTTGCAACATATTCTCCTTGTAGTTTTCTTTTTGTTGTTATGGCGTATCTAGTAAGGTTCAAATATAGCCGTGGCATCGTAAAAAGAGGTCCCACAGCGAATCTTTGCAAAAGTTGGCTTCTTGGAAAAGTTGCTTCTGTGATCATTCAATAACAATTCATATAATAACATATTTTGTTTCCCAGATTCTCATTTTGATTTCATTGTGGGAAGAGAGATTCCAAAATAAGGCTGGGCCTTAAAATTACATTTTTACTCCAAAAATTCGTCCTCCAAGCCTTATCATGGTTCATTCATCATAGTTGGATCTGTTCGGTCACATCCAGTGTATGCAAAAAACCATTACTGCAAAAAAATGTGTGTTTATATTAAGATAAGCGTTTATACTCGTTAAATTATCGTTATTATCATTTGATGAAGTAATTTTCGATCACTATTCATATCGGTTTGTAAATAGTTATTTGGCTATGAGCAACTATAGTATAGTAAACTTATTCTCAGAAATTTGACTTATACGAACATTTCAGGCGGAGTCCCTGATTTTCAAAATAGTGTTTTTCTTTAACCAGCTTATTTTCAGATAGGCGTATTCACAGTGTTGAAAGACTTGGGAT